TGACAGAAGGACCTCTTTGCGGAAGTCCACCAAAGTTCCTTTTGAGAATACCCATCGCGAGCTTTCGCGGAAGCATGTTTGAAGCAGAAACCTAGCCCTGAACTCTGAAAAGGACCCTTGACCCATGCCCTTAACCCCACAACCGAGCCTGTAACCCTGCAAGCCAAGACAGAAGAGCGAGCAAATCTAGCTCGGATGTGGCATATTGCCAAAACAGCAAAATTACGCGTTTGCTTCTGGTGTTCAAACCACATCGGCGGCACATTCGCACGTCTGAAATTGCAAGTTCAAATTCGAAGTTGGCGCTGCCGAGTTAGCCAGATTCATCAGTATTCACGATGGATTCTGCTCCTGTGAAACGAGCTGGGTAGGCCTTAGGGGGGGTAGCTCTCGCACGAGGGTGTGACGCGGGTGATGTAGGCAGGCTTCTTGCGAAGCCCTCAGCATCTCCATGCCTGCTGCAAGCCCAGCAACTGAGGGCTAACAATGTATGGGACCGCTGCTTAGTTTGACGCCTCAAAAATTCCAAAAGCTCAAACCTCAAGCAGAAGCTGAGTATCTACAACCTCAACACTTCGCTCGTTGACCTGCGAAACTTTAAGCTCGTGGACCACTAAACCCCACAAATGAAATTAAAACAGAAAGCGTCGCCATGAGTGCCTGTTTTCTCTGGGCCCATGAAATTCAACATTTGGGGGTTCCCAAAGTTAGGGGTTCCGTGTTGGGGGTCTTGGCTTTAGGGATTATAATATCTTTGCACCTACATTGGGGTCGGCCTATTTTGGGAAACTACCATTTTTTTTGCGCATGTTGTAAATTGATGGCTTTTCATCATCTGCACTCGAGCGTGTGCTTCAAAAACGACAGGCTGCAAGGAGGGAAAAGTTAAAGCAACATACTTACGTGGCATCTTGGCACAAGACTGCTAAGCTTGGGTGGGCTTTGAGGGCTCTATATGGAAAGCTGTAGGCTTGCAATGAGCATCTGTTGGATTCAGACAACAACGGTAATAACTCGAGGATCTTCGTTTTGGGGGGTAACGATCAGAAGGACATCTTTTGCAAAAGTGGAAGGGAGCCTTTGCAATTACAATTTTGAGGCGTGCAGGTGCCCTAAAGCCAAGAAAAAATCGTTGATTTTGCAAGTTTCTGGCTTCGGAAATTTAGTCTTCCTGACACTGACCTGTACGGGATGCGTGTGCAGTCTTTTCCAGCGGGTGCAATAATCCACCAGCTCTGTGGCGTGCTTTTTGCAGGGTGTTTGGGTTTGGTTCTTCAACTGCTTTTCACAAACGTTCAAGCTTTTTGCCGTAGCTTTCGGCTTGAGGCAAGCCGCCGCAGGGTTCAACCTTGAGCATTTTTTGGTTTCATTCGCGTCTTTACAGGTTTTCCCATGATATCTCAACAAAGCCAGTCCGGAGCCCAAACAAATCACAATAGAAGCACTTAATCTTTCGGTTTCCCTTCAGAGGCAACTACCTCTTCGGAAAATGCTTCAAATCGCAACTGGATAGTGGCTCATTGCCACATGTTTCTGGAAGCATATTGGCACGCGTTTATATTCTGCAGTCCAAATTATATGTTATTCCTACGGAATATATAGGCACAAAAGAAATTTTCGCGTAGCGAGAACAGGCGAAGCATACTGGATTAAAATGTATGCTATTGACATGAATATTTCCTTTACATGGCATGTGCCGTGCTGAGCACTGGCTAAAACAATGAAACTCTGCGGCTGCCACTCTTGTCTATTTCTAGTCATAATAGTCATCATAATAATAATAACAGTGTTTCTATTTCTAATCATAATAATCATCATAATAATAACAGTAGTAGCAATAATAGCGCTACTCATAATCGAAATAATAAGCATAATGATGATACTGATACTAATAACAGGAATAATTCTAGCAAGAATAATAGGTTCTTTGGGTTGAAAGGGTTGCCACCTTCAATGGAGATCCCTCTTTTCACTCAATGGCATGCACTGTGACGACATTCCACTGGAGTCCCTGCTTTTAGAAGCTTTCATCTCATATGGAAATTGCCACGCAAATCACACCATCTCAACGCACCTTCCCCTCCAGTCGGGAATTCCTATGCTAGCCTGCCGCCCTCAACATGCCCAAAGTCCAATAATCTGCATGGGGTTCTCCACGCAACAATGTGGAGAAGCTCTCTTGCCAGCTCATTGTTGTGACGGAGGTGGCTCCACAAAGCGTGCTTTTGCATGCAGATTCCCATATGCATTAACACTTTGCTGCAGCCAGTCCCGGCAAGCATTCCTATCATTTTGGTAGGAAATGGTTGTCCTTGAACCTCCTAATTGACATGGAGTTCACAGACGGCGAACCCCATATGAACATCAAGATCAGACAACATGGAAATCCTCTTGAAAAAGCCTGTAGCTCTCAATGCAAATGCCCCTTCAGAATTACTTCAAAAGGAAAATCACTAAGACCACCAGTTGTGATAGAAGCCCCACCAGGGTTCCCCACAATGCAACTGCTGGTTCCCTAGAAAGTATCTATTTCCTTGAGATATACGCGCAAATATCGCGGAGGTTGGGGATTTTTATGGAGATGTTCAGTCCCGCGCAATTCCAAGAGCTTCACGTGGAAAGGTTCCCGCATCTGCATGTAGGTGTTTCGGCAGTGGCGGCTCCAACATATATCCTGTCAGTCTAAAGGTAGATGCACCTGTGACAATTACCATGACAACTTTACACGCGCATTTGAGGTTCCCATGCAAATGAAACAGGACCTTCTTCATGGCGTACACATGAAAATCACTTCATGAATCCTTAGCCTTGTCTTTCTAGAGTCTAACAGTCTGACAGCTTGCGAAATCAGTCCTCATGAGCCCCTAATCTGAAACAACACATAAGCCTGCCAGAAAAGAAACCAGCCAGTCTGCAAGCTAAACAAGGATGCAAAGAGGCTGGAAAGCAGGGTAAACAATGGGAAGAAAGTTAGAAAAAGTGGAACAGCACTCAGGACTCGTGGATTGACTCGTGGAAAGAGTAAATGTGAGACTAAAGACTCCGGCCTGGGTCACGCAGCAGGCCTGTACGTCGAGTTCATTCTCAATATCGCAGTACCTCGGAGATGCCCCTGATGGCGGAGCAAGCCTATCCCAGCCCAAATGCCTCAAACCTAGCCTAAGGAGCAGTAGTAGATCCTAACACACAGAAGCAACAGATAGAGTTTTTACGTCAGCTCGCCATAGCAGCGTTGCTTGAGCTCTTAGAAGTGCGAACTGCGGGGACTGCACCAGCCCCGCTTTAAAGCCCAGGCACGTAGTGGTGCAAAAGACTTCGCCTGTGCGGTTCTGGTACCCCGCCGGGCACGTCAAGGCCTGGGCTTGAGCGTTTAAAGGAGCTCTCTTCTTGCAAGGCGTATCAAGGCGTGGAGATACCCAATTGCAGCTATGAGGCAGCACAGCTCTCGCGTACGCAAATGCTCCAGCTGGCCTCTGCGAGGTACGGCTGGTCGAAAATGATCTCAGAACACAAATCGAGTTGCAGCTGCTAACATCTGCAAAACAAAGCGAAACCTCACATTCCAGGCGACTGCTGTGCGGCTTTGTTGCCCTTCATCATGGTTGATGCTAACAAAAACATGCTCAAATCGTGAAAAGAATCTTCCAGAAATCCAATTTCATCACCCTCTTCCCGTAAAACCCAGCAACCACACACTAGAGGCAAGGGACTGTGGCCCCATCGGGAAGCTCGTCCAGGAGCAGCGTCTCTGGCGTGATCAGATGTCCCTCAACAATGAAGTCCTTATGAGACTTTGCGCAGGACTGGCATTCTTGTATTGATTTGGACTGCGAATTGCAATCATGAACTCCGCTAACTCGGCTAGATGGGGAGCAAATGACTTCGACTCTAGGTCGCTGTCCTGAAACGACTGTGGCAAGTTAGCGAACGGTATGATCTACTCAGTAACTAGTGAGCTATAATTACAAACAAATCTCCAGAAGGAGGAGAGGCACTTAGCTTCAGCAAGAACGGCGAAGGCAGTTGCCCAAGGAACTAGATACCCCGGCCCCGAGCCCCTCAGTCCCCAAAATGTAAAACTGGAATGGAACTCGAACTGTAGCCTTGCAAAATGTAGCTCAGGACCATTAGTACTAGCTGGCCCCAGCACTTGCCACCAAAAAGAAAGCACAATTTTGACAGCCCCGCATGTACAATTTCCAGTTGTCTAGGTCATGTTCCATGTTATTTTCCTGCTAATTCTCGACTATCGAGGGGTTGCTATTCCTCTGAACCCTAGAAATGCCTAAACCTAAAGACTAAACTCGACTTCCGGGCTCTTCCACAGAGTTTGCTTCCAAGTTTGAGTCCAGGATCAGGCTCGCGGAGGGTGTCGAAGTAGATGGCAAAGACGTTCACCGGCAAAGAGGACCTGAGAAATATAACGTGCCCCAGGGACTTTTTGCGGGGCTTCTGGGAATTCATGCCAATTTCCGATTCCCAAAGTCAGCAGGATCGCGCATGGAATGGACCAAAAGCTGCAAAAAAACTACTTGAAATACTAGTGGTTACAAGTGGTGTATAAAGTCTGACTAGGGAAAGCAGCCCATAGCTCAACATTCTGCAATGTCACTTGCCGAAGGAAAGCTTCAGCTCCATGTGCACTGGAACCGTGCCGTTTGCGACGCCTTGAAGGCAGCCATCGTACCACCCACCATTCCTGGAGCTTCTGAAGCCAATGTATAGCTACAGAAAAGTGTGAAGACAAGGATTCCTTGATGAAGGTGGGCTCACATGGGCAAGTTGGGGTCAGAAACCCGTTGCCGCCGTTGCCTGAACCCCGGCTATGCAGCCGAAGCCACTGCAATGACTCGGGAGGTGACCAAGTGCCTGAGATCGTGAAGCCATTGTCTGGCCTGCAGCAAAGGTCCTTGGCTTCGCTGTGCGTGAGAAAGGCTAGACTAAAACTCCGCATACTCCACTAAAAAAATGGCTTCAGGGTTAGCGATGAGTCTGCGGAGCTACAAACAGAAACAAGTGGCAAGGTCTCGGTCGGCTTCGCACGGACCGTCGCAGGTCAGAAGCTCAGCTCCTGCGCGGAGGTAGTAGCCTTGCGCGAGTCGAGAATCAATAATCTGTACCACAAGAGCCGAACATAAACAGCTGCTGCCTTGTAAGTTGAGGTGGGGTTTAAAATGCCAGAATCTGACTCTACCCACCTCCTCGCCCCCTCCCAGGCCTGCAGTGCCCGACACCTTTGTTTTTCTTTTGCGCGGCCCAGAAGGCGCGGCCTTCCTCCGTCCCCACTCCTCCAGGCTCCTCCAGGCCTCCTTTTGCGAGGCAATGCACATTAGATCAAATCATTGTTTTCTGCGGTTAAGGTTCTTGCATTGCAAGATTTTCCATTGATTCTCTGCGCACTTTAAAGTGCATTACTGCAGGGGGTTGCTCCCGCAGGTGTGCACCGGCTTCATACAAGAGCTGGAATTCGTCGATGCTCCATGCGAGAGCCCAACCTTAAGCCAGAATGTGAGGCCAGTCCACGCCACAGCTGGATGTCGGGCCAACATTCAAGCACGCTCTTGCCCCCGCCCGTTTACTTTTTGTTGTATCCTTATTTGTGCTTGCTTGATCCCTCTTTTTGATTTGTTCCATCTCTTTCTTTGTTGAACCCCATTCCCGCATGTGCTGAGTTCATCGTAACCATGTCACCACTTCTGGCTGCAGGCGCGAGGAACCAGCAACAGAGGTTTCACTCCAGTGGCAGCACGTGTGTCGTCAACCATGGCAATGACCAAAAAAAACAGACACAATGTAGAACGTAGACCTTCACAGAGGCAAGGCTGGATAAGCTGGTGCAATAGTTGCATGAAAAGCTTGTGACAAGGCCATCCCAATCTCCGAGGCCACTCCTGGGCTTCCTGGGGCCATGGCCATCTGGTACCGAGAAGTTGTTGGCGCAGGTGTGAAGGATGGTATGCTGGAAGTAGTGCCCCAAGTCATCTGCATGGCTGACAGGTTTTGCGCAGGGTCCAATCTCTCGCAGCTCGTGTCCCCTTGGAATAAAGTTCCGGAGTCACACTTACACCATCACCACAAACTCAGACTCAAAGTCAAGCCTGGCGTTTGTTGCTTCAGGCTAGGGCTACCTACGAGTGCAGCAGTCAAGAGCCTGCCTTGAAGGCGCGGTGACAAGTTGAAGTTGCAAGCTATGGCAACTTGCATACTTTCCTTTCTACACACCTGCCAGAGCCATCAGCTCAATTCAAAGCCCTGATCCAAAGATGAAAAGCACCCATGACGCGTCCTGGCACAAACGTCAAATCGTCCATTGCGTTGTCGAGCCGCGTCACTTTCTGTAGCAGGGCTTTTGGATATGTTTTTTCATTGAAGCATCATCACACAGGACGCTTGGAAGGCAAACTTTACCTGTGACTACACAAGTTCAAGTAAAGACTTGCGACAACACTCCAACATCCTACTCAACTTTCATGCAGGAGGCATGGAGGAATCGCTGCATGCATCAGAACAAACAAACCTGACAGCCCTCAAAGCTCCTTGTAGAGCTGCATCGGGGTCTGCAGGGAACTCCCTATGCCTGCCAGCCTTGGACGCAGGAAATGTAAGGAAGTCCAGGGGCCTCCTGCAATGCTGTCTGTCACTACAGACATCTCTACAAGTACCGTCTCCTGCGTTGCCAACAAGCAGCTGTTTTGGAAGTGACCACAGAAGAATAGGCATCCTTAGCTCCAAGGGTATGCCAGAAATCTGCCACGAAGGCTCTGGTGATGTCTGGTAGCTGGTACTCGGAGGCCACCTGCGCCTGAGGAGAAGAAGCGAAAGATAGACACTGGTCCATGTTCGGTCGCGTATGTCGGGTTCGGGGTTCCAGGGGCTGGGAGAAACTTCTGGCCGAGGCGCGGCAGCACGACGAAACTGGAAGCTGCCCGGGCCCAGCAATACATCAACAGTGGGCCCACTTTGGTTGGCACCCACAAAAGACCTTGGCCGCCAAGAAAGCTGCGTGGGACTCGTTTTGGGCCTAGTATCATTACACTACAAGTATTAAGTATCTAGCATTAGTGCTCCTACTGTTATTAATATTCTGCATGTTATTAAAACTACTATGATTATTGCAACTGTATTTCCATTAGTATTGGGCTGAGGACCGGTAGAGGTCCACCATGGTCTGCTCGGAGCTCTGGTCATCCATTACGCAGAAGCGCAAGCAAGAGCTGTAGCTCAGCAAGCGCTCGCCACTGGTGAGTTGCAGCTCTTGCCACGCCTCAGACTCAGCCGATCAGCCACAAATTTTGCTTTTATTACACACAAAAAAAAACAAAGCACACCCTTGGTGAAAAGAAGCCCAGCGACTACAGAGACTTGGCTGCTCGCTTCGACCAGTATCTCAAGGATCCTCAGATCAGGCAGATGGGAGCTCCGCCCACCTAATTGAGAAGGCTCCAGTGCACTCTAGGTGGTCTTCTTGAAACCTCGTTCCTCTAGCTGCGGCCTTGTTACTGCAAAAATCCCACACATCCCCACACATCCCCATGAAATGCACAAGACCCTTTCAGTCAGCAAGCCGTTTTGTGTTCTTGAGCCGGCCATGGGAAAGTGAGCCTGTCAGGGAAAGCGTGAGGCCCACCCGCAACTCATAGGGCAGGCGACAGTACCTTGGTTGAGGCATGACGAACCCGGCGTGGACTGGCACAAGTTGAGCTGGCTCTGAGAAAAGACTTGAACACATTAGATCTGATCCGGCTTGCAAGGCCTGAATATATCAAGATGCTATTGCATCCTTGTCCCCGCAAATGCCAACACTCTGATCTCTTGGCATCGAACATGAGCCATAGTCTAAAGTCTTAGTATCCCCCTGCATAACCCCTGTAGAAGTCCCTTATAAAATTCCTGATATAGCCCCCTTTAAGGCTCACATGAGCTAGGAGCAGCTATAGGACCAGGGGGCTGAGGCCACGTGGAGCTGCTGGTGTAGCTCGTTGCTAAGCAGGTTGGCGCACCCGGGCCAATCACAGTGTCCACAGGGCTGCACGCCTGCACAAATGTTCATCACCAGTCAGAAAATAGGTGAAAGCCCTGCCCAGCGGGTGCGCTTTGCAACACGTGGATGTTGTTTAGACGATTTTGTGAAGATGGCTGGGTACCTTAGAGAAGACTTCAGAACTCCACTGGCTCTTCCGGCTGCCTGGTATGTGCTCTGGCTACGCAGGCTGTCGCAGTCATTTTGCGCTGAGCTGGCTGTCAGGATAGCCAAAAGCAGAAAGAGGCGGCCCATCAGCACCGGACAGGTGGCGTAAGGGGCCTTGTATTCCCAAAAATTGGAAGCTTCAGAGTGGTGACGTAGGGTGGAGGTAGTTGTAGGTTACGTTGGTTCACAAGAACCATTTGCGGACCCACGCATCAGCTCGGCTAGTAGTAGTAGTAGTACAGTGGAACACCTACCTGCCTAGGCTGCGGGGTTGGGGGTTGCTCAGGATGTTGTAGTGGAAACTGGGACTTGAGAGGGCTCGTCTTGTGCAACTGATCGCCTCAACCGAGGCAATTCCTAGCCTTGTGAGGCTTATGCTCACAAGGGCTGAAGCTCAGTCCACAGATGCATGACACGTCCACATCAAACTTCTCAAAGGAGCTGTGGTCCTGTCTGAGCCAATGTTAGACCCTGCGACCCTCAGCTTTCAAACCCAGAAAAGGCTGTATCCTGAAATCCTTCACCCCACTTGGCTCACAACACAAGGAACTCCATCTGTAAGGAAACTCGGCAATGCTGGACAGGCTGTAGCATGGGATAAGACCCTGAAAACTGCCGAAACCTCTGCCACACGGTCGCTTTTTTGACTGCTCCGACTCCAAGCCTGAGGCCCTCGGCCAGAGTACGCAACAACCCACTGCCAAGGCCACTCAAATCAGGGACGTTGCCGGATGCCTCAGATTTGACAAAGAGCGCAACCAAGAATCATGCCCGCTTTCCTGTAGTCATCAGCTAAAACATATGAATATTGCAACATCCGATCCCTAAACCTGTGGGCTTCCATACTGCTTCTTTTGCCCTTGAGAACGGACCAAATGTGCTGGCAGGTGTCCAGCATGTCCAAGCGCAGCATCTTCCGCTCCAAGAGACTCTGCAGGGAGGATCCGCGGCTACACAACCAAGAAGTCTCAACCACTAGGCCGTGCATCGAGCCTCTACGCACACCACGCTCGTTTACGGTCCGGCTTGTGCTGCCGAGCGAGCGGCCTACCTCTTCTTCAAGCCGAAGCCACAATGCATCTGACTGCACGAGAAGATGATTTTCTTCGCATGCGCTGATAACGTGCAGGAGGCATCCAGCATCTGCACCAGTCGCCAGCAACTGCAGGGCTTGCTGCCAGGAAACGCTAGAACAGGCTCCTAGCAGAACGTCCAGCGCAGCCAGGTCGAGGGAGGGAAGAAAGCTCAGCAAATCCAGGCTTCGCTGCCAGCTGCGCTGCCACTGGCTCAAAGATGCCATTTGGGTCCATGCTGGCAGCGGCAGGTCCGGCAGGAGCAGCGACAGAAGCGACAGCGCCTCCTGCCACCTTCCTGCTTGCTCCAGAGCGCTCGCCAGGATGCTACAACCTTTGCCCGACAAAAAGTCTGAAACCCCCCAAACGTCCCAGCGTCTCTACGCTTCCCTAAACAACGGCTCCAAGAGGCTGGCCGCATCACTGAAGGGCGAGTCCAAAAAGATCCGCAAGCACTGCTCCCACTGCCAAGCCCGCTCACAGGCCTGAGCGGTCGGAGCAGTCTGAGCATGTCTGCGTTCACACTTTTCAAACTTCACAGCGAGCGGCAGCAAGGGCCGCGTTGAAGCTTGTGACGTCCGGCTCCTGTTGCAGCTCACAAGTGCAACCAGAACTGAAATCCATCTGTTGAATGCTGCTGGAAGTCCTGGAGGCAATTCCTGATGCCCTGCAGTAGCTGCACAGACAGCCTCCATTTTCCCGTAGCACCAACTGTGGAGATGGCAGCATTGTATACGGACGTCTGGTTGACAGAAGCACGCTCAGACTCAGTCAGCAACACAAGCGCCCACCCCCAAAAGACTCGACCGCGCTGGATGGCACTGATGGCAATGCCAAACGTGGCCGCATCGGCGCTTAGACCGTGAGGTTTGGGAAGGAGGTGCAGGCAAAGCTGCCACTTGGAAGCGCGAGCACAAGCTGTCAGCGCTGCGTTCAGGACCTGGATGGGTCTGCGCATGCCTCGGTGGTCGATGGATGTCAATGGGTTTGTGCATGCGAAGCTCCATAAAAACTGCCCTTCTGCCTGGCTGCCCACAAGAGCCACGGCCTCTCGCCACAGCGCTGCGGCTGCAAAACAACCTGCGGCCGCTGCTTGGCCGTAGCTGTCCAAGCTCGGCGACCCTGGGACGCCGACAGAAACGAATAATCAGTTCAACTCATAGTCAATGCCGACATAAGGACCCTCGATCGTCCTGACTCATGGAAAGAAGCATTTAGGTTCTCAGACGCCTCGAAGAAGAGCCAGACCCTGGCGCCACTCTGCGGCAGACACGCAGCCCGTCAGAAGCGTGTTGAAGGCAACCTTCACGCAGAACACAAAGATTGGGATGCGTTTTGACCTAAGGATGTAAAAACAGTCTGCTGCTAGCTTAGGGCTTAGGCAAAGGTTCACTCAAGGTCCCAGGCTGTACCCTTTGCCCAAGGCTTCGGCATGAGAAACTGTGAGCTGGTCCAAGATGTTCGCAACAGCAGGTAGCTTTCAGGCTTCGTGCCCAACGGTCTGGCATCCGATACCCAGCATACCCAGCTGTCTAGGAGAAGAGTTTCTAGGACAAGAGTTGCCTGATCTGGCACGGCTCGAAGTCTTGGCAACTGCTGCCAAAGGACCTGAGAGAAGAAATATGGATAAGAGCCAGCTTCAGAAACGGCCTGCATGCCGGAACCGCATGAGATCATGCTTAAGTCGACCTGAATTTCCCAAGCCAAATACTTCGCGCATCAAACTCGTCAAGTTCCACAAGCTTGACAGTTGGACTAAAGTTTGAAAGAGTCAGGAGGCCAGCGCACGCTGCCACTGCGCCGCTCGTCCCAAAGCATTGAGGGCAGCGCCACCGCCCACCTGTGTCTCGTGCAAGAACTCTGGATAACTTGCTGAAGCCTTCAGGAACAACGAGGACATAACATAGAAATGAAGGACAAGCAAAGGCATACAATGGTCTGTCTTTGATAGGACTCTTGGTGCAGCTGCAAGACTGCCAGGGTCTTCAAGAGCAGGTTAAGAGCAGGTTTTATGCTACAAAATGCATCTGCCTGAGTGACCACCAAAAAGAACAAGCGGACTTCTCTCAAATACCATGCTCACAGGCTGCTGTAAATCTTTACATCCCTCTAGCTCTTAACTAGCTTTCACGTGGTGTTTGTCAGAACCTCTCTGAGTGCAAGGGCGACGTACAACAAAGTCCTAAAGACTGAGCACTCAGATCTTGTAGGGCGGAGTTCCGAAACGACGGGCTTGTAGCAAGTGAGTTCATCTGTGGACCAAGAAAATCGAGGCAGACTGCAAAACCCCTCCAAGTCTGCCTGGTTGACGCCCGAGCCCAGCAGCGCCAACGCTGCATGCCACGCAGCGGCCCTACAGACTGTGGTCTACGGGTGAAACATAAATTCAACGGACTGATGGTGGCTATGGCTCTGTCAACCTCTGTGCGTAGAGGCAGAAACGACATGAATATGAAACAGAACAAGTATGTACTATGCAGATACACCTGGAAAAGAACTTTCCAGACTTCACAAAGAACACCAAATGAGGGACGCATTGGCCAAGCTGCTGAGCGCAGGCTGCCAAGCACCTTAACCATCCATTACAAATACTATATGCGCTGGAATGAAATGAGAGAAATGTTCATGTTCACACAAGTGTGAGACAAGACACACACGTGCCCGACCTATTGCACATGTGCATCACACACAGTCTGATCGTGCATCCGTTGGCACCTGATGCGCCTGAAACGCGGCAAACCTTCCGCTGTTCTGGAAAGATCCCATGCATATATTCAAGCCAAGCGGCGTGTTGCGACTGACGTTGTTGGGCATGATCATTGCTAAGCGCATCTCCTGAACTCTAGGAAGCCACTTTACCAATCTCATCCCACAGTAACATCTTCAAGCATCTAGCTCCACGCAGCACTCTGCCGAACTGATGATTGACAA